AGCTGATCTACAGTGGAGGAGGAGCAAGAAGCAGCTGACCCATACTTACGGACCAAACCTTGTCAGTCATTGTCGCCTCTGACCTGGATGGCGTGGGTGTCCTGCAGCAGCCAGGGCTCTGCTCACAGAGCTAAACACTCACACCTGGCCCAGGAGTCGGAGAAGCTGGAGGAGGTTCTAGGGCAGTGATGGCGAACCTATGACACGCGTGTCAGAGGTGACACGCGAACTCATTTTTTTGGTTCATTTTTCTTTGTTAAATGGCATTTAAATATATAAAATAAATATCAAAAATATAAGTCTTTGTTTTACTATGGTTGCAAATATCAAAAAATTTCTATATGTGACACGGCACCAGAGTTAAGTTAGGGTTTTTCAAAATGCTGACACGCCGAGCTCAAAAGGTTCGCCATCACTGATCTAGGGGAAGATGGAGCAGGTGCAGGTCTGGCTGCTGGCTTATGCCAACGAGATGAGCCAGCAGGTAAGCAACAACGTGGGAGAGCTACAGAATAGCTTCTGCTTCACTTCCGTCCCCCGGATCTCTCTGTGGTCCGACCTACCTGGGAAGGGAATTCTGGGAAATGTCATTGACATATTCAAAGCCACCACAGGTGGGGGCCTGGGCATTGGTATCTTTCAAAGCCCTCCATGTGATTGCATGCACAGGGATTGAGATATGCTCTCTTCCTCCCTTGAGAGGCACTCCTGTAATGTAGTGGTCGGGATCCGATACCACAAGAACACAGCATTGAAGCTGGGAGCCATGTTGCAAGGAGGTGAGGAGGAAGTAAGTGATGAAGCAATGGAAACCACGGGCCTAGACCGTGCTTTTGAGAAGTGTGTTAGTAAAGGTCAAAAGAACAAAACCTAGGGCAGCCAGTGCAGTTAGCTACATCAAACAAGTATATTCTCATGTTTGGGGCAGAGTCGGGATTGACTTCCTCCTCCTCCGAGCTTCTTCAGCCCTTTGCTGGTTTCCTTGGTTCATTCCACATCTTGCCTGAGCCCGAGGTTGCTTTCGGACTATGTGGAGAATCTGGGGATACAGGGATTGCTTTTCATCTGTGCTCAGATTACAGGTTTGGGGAGTATTTTAAAGAGAGAGGCTCAATCTGAAGTTTCTGGATTGAATAAAGATGAGGAGAGATGGGATTAGCAGATAAGGGAATTGAAACTATTGGAGAAGAATGGAAAGGAATGGAAACAAAATTCCTTTAACATTTAGGAAATATAGAGTATAGTTCTGTAGGCTGTGCCCTGCCCGGGAACTGAATTGTGACCTCCAGGCTCACGGGTCAATGCTCAACCACTGAGTCACACCAGCTGGGCATGACATATCTACATATCATTTGTATGTTGTCTGATAAATTTGCATTTTTGTTACTATTGTGCTGCCTTCTATCCTCAATTCATAAAAATGGATCAGTGGTTCACAAGTGATTCTCTGAAATATACATACATTCAGAGAATGACACACTGTGTCTCAGAAAAGCTTTGCAAACCTAACAAAGGACGTGTTACAGTGCAAATACGGAACATACATCTGTGAACTCCATGCAGCAGCCCGAAATGGAAAGAGCGAGCTGAATGCATGATGATGACTATCAGGAAATTTAGTTTTAGTAGACTAAGAATCCATTTATCCCTAATTTCCTGCAGAATCTTTTTTGCTATAGACTTGGTTAAATTGTAATATGATGTTCTTGAGCCACTTCCTAGCACAACAAAGTGGATTATTGGTAAACCAATCAAGTTCTTCTAGAACAAGTACAAAACAATGCTTTGCAGTATGTTACATTGAATAATATTGTCATTGAAATCAGAGGAGAGAACAAAACAGAGGTTTGTTCAAATTTTTAGTCCTGCCAGTAAAAACTATTACAAGTCACACTGTTGCTGAGACATTTTTAAGAACAGTTACAAAGCCCTGGCCTGTGTTTTTCAGTGGTTAGAGCATGACCCGTGAACCAAAGCGTCGGGGGTTCAATTTCCTGGTCAAGGACCTGTACCTGGGTTTAGGGTTCAATTCCCCACCCTGGGGACATGTGTGGGGGGGCAACCAATTGATGTCTCTCTCTCACATTCATATTTTTTTCTCCCTCTCTCCCTCCCTCCCTTTCACTCTCTCTAAAAGTCGATGGAAAAATTAACACACACACACACACACACACACACACACACACACACACAGAATAGCCACAAAGTCAGTGACAAAGATAGCAGAAGAGAGCAGTATTGCCAACATTCCTCTTGTATGTGACGCTGTCGGAGCTGAAGCTTTAGTGTGCATCAGAATCACCTGAGAGCTGTGTCCCACCATTTCTGATTTTGGTAGATGCTGCTGCTGCTGGTGGTTGAGGATGGCGAGAACCACTGGTGTAGATGCCAAGTTACTGTCAGGTGTGCCTGCTGGCAGATACTTTCCTGGACAAAATAGCTGGACAGAACACTTATGCCCAGAATAGAAAGCACTTGTCTACTGATACCATGCATGGGTGAGGGGAACGAGCTCAGTGACTTCTCATTGGAAAATCTATGCTAAAAAGAAAAAGGATTTTTTTTCTCACACAGTTCATTGCGCCAGCTGTGATATAGATCGGGAGGGACACTAGGATTGGTACGGAGGGAGCACCAGCCTCCGTGGGCAGGCAAGGACTTTACTCTGGTTGCACCTAAATTCCCTCCCACACTCTGCTTTACTTACAGAGGATAGTCAGTGGTCATTAGAAGACGTTGTCCTTGATTCAGAGTTGAGGATAATAGAGAAAATTGTGAATGCGATGAAAGCATGATAATTGAATGTACATATTTCATGTGCTGTGCCAAGAAATAGGCAGCAAATGTTTAAACATTGAGATAATTGACATATAATACTGTATTAGTTTTTGGTGTGCAATATAATGATTTGATGTGTGTATATATTGCAAAATGATTACCAAAATAAGTGTAGTTAACACTCATCACCAGATATAGCTACACTTTTTTTTAAGTGTGTGATGGGAACTTTTAAGGTTTAGACTTTTAGGGGCTGCAAAATTAAAACAACTTGTTTTCCCACTGAAGGCTGTTGGCTATCGATGAGGAAGGTGCTCAAGAGTTTCTGGAATGAAGGATGACTTTAAAAACATTTATTTACCACATTGATAATATGAGTACAGACCATTTCTGGAATTTCAAGCGGTGTAGCTCAGCAGAACGCTCCATGTCTGTCTAGCCTGAACTAGAGGAAATGGGGTATGAATAGCCTGATCTCTAGTAGTTTGATGCTTTGCTAATTGGATGACATCCTTTCTTTGTTTGAGAAATAAATTCATGATGTATCATTGGGCATGTTTTGAAACCACAAACATCAGCTGCAACTAAACACACAAGACAATTTCCAGAGCCCCACACAAGTCAGAACAGGATCTGGAGTTCATTTGGCACCACCTCCCAGGCTGGACAATCCATACCCCAGCCCTTTACTGCAGCGATTTTCAGCTGGTGTGCCACAGAATTTAAAACATGCAATGCATTACTATTTAGTTAGGAGCACTGACCTCTTTGGTTGTCAAATAAAAAAGGACAACAGTCAACACAACAGTAGCCATTCTGTGGGAATGTCCAGTCTTGAGCCATAAATATAGATCATATAACAGAGTTGCATCTAATTGGTTACATTGCATAATAAAGTTTTATCTGATTGGTTAATTCTTGGTGCCAGAAATCTTTATATACAAGTATAGGCACCTTATTAAAAAAGAATTGTTTTGGAGCCCGGCTGGTATGGTTCAGTGGTTGAACATTGACCTATGACCCAGGAGATCATGGTTTGATTCCCATTCAGGCACATGCCTGGGTTGTTGGCTCAATCCCCAGTAGGAGGCATGTGGGAGGCAGCTGATTGATGATTCTCTCTCATCATTGATGTTTATATCTCTCCCTCTTCCTTCCTCTCTGAAATCAATAAAAACATATTTAAAACAAATAAAAATAATTTTAAAAATCCCTTTGGAGTAAAAAGGGTAGGTAATTACTATCTTTTTTTGGTAAATTAGTAAAAATTATACCTATTTTTGTCAGATCAGCAAAAAATATATTTTTTGTGTGCCACAGAATTTTAGTAATTAGTTTACGTGTGCCATGAGATGAGAAAGGTTGAAATTGGTTCTTGACTGTACTAGCTTATTCATTTAGCATCCAAAAGATCATTAAAAGTATGAGACTTCCTTTCCTACTTTACTGAAAAATTTCTCCATAATTTCTGATTCACATGTGAGCCAAATATCTAGAACCATTTGGGAGAATTATCAAATGCACTTGCTTTTATTTCTGAAAAATTCTGACTGGAAACTTGAATCTTCTGGTTTTTTTGGAAATAAATAATAGAAAAGCACCAGTTAGATGCGGGTCTTAATCTATGGCATGAGCTAGGGATATAGATATCTTAGTGAAAAACCGGCAAGTGATAATGCTCCTCATTGATTTGAAGCTGTTTGCCATTTTGTTTATTTTATTTCATTTCATTTTTAAATTTGTGACTCATCTATTTTTTAAAAGCACACTAGATTGGTGTTCTGCATGTGTTCCAAATGGCCATTAAATGGTCATTTACAGATTGATATCACCATTAGCTGCACAGATTTTTTTCCCAAAGGTTTGGAGATACTGCTCCCTGGTAATGCTATATTAGCGCCACCATGTGGAGAGAAGGAACAATACTATTCTTTCTATGGTTAAAAAAAAAGAGAACTGATCCTCTTGCATTTAAGATTACTAAACTTTTGCCTACCATATTTTAGGAAAAACAGAACATCATTTTTAGAGAAAACCTCATTAGATGAAATTTTATTGAGCGTTTGCTGGATGCTAGGCTTGTGCTAAGCCCTTTACATGTATTATCTCATTGCCTCCTTACCATGACCCATGAGCCACGGTTACTCCTCTTTACAGATACAGGGAAGTGTTCAGATTAAGCACCTCAAATGCCTTCTAAAAGTCAACACCAAGAAGATATGCACATAAAAATATTATTAACTCCATCCACTAAACTTTCTGTGCCCTTAAGACAAGCTGAGCAGTCCAGCTTTCAAATGCGAGCACAAGGCACATTTCTGTCTCTGAGGCATCATTTCATTACGGAAGGAAAGTCTTATTTCGGGGTCTTCTCTATGGATCTCATCTGGTTTGCTTTTTGTCTGGAAGTTCAAAGAGCTGAGAGTGGAGTGAGCTCTAGTATTTTATTCCCGTAGAAACAAAACCCGCGTTGCCCTAATTGCTCAGAAGACGCCGAATGATCAGTCTAAAGATTTTCAAGTTGTTAACCTGACTCCTGGTCACATGACCTGGAGGTTCACAAAGGGCAGGAAAGTGTACTTTTAATTGAAGGGTATAAGTTTGTTACTTGCATTTGGGGTTATAAATCTAAACTTGTTTAATATTGTACATCTTGTTTAATATTGTACATCTTTTACTATAAGAGACTTGAAATATACATCTTAACTCATATACCCTGAAATACTACCGATCAAATATTTGCTTAAGTTAGTAAACATTAGACAATAGCTCACAGCGCTGCTAGAGGCATCCGTCATTTATATTGTAGTATTAATAAAGCAAGGTCCATTTTGTGTCAGCACTTAGTGATGGCCACTTGGGGGAATGAGATGTTTGAGGAGTGAAGAGAGGCAAATGCTTTGGAGCACTTTGGCTGGGACAGGTAAGTCTGAGTGAACCATCCTGATGCAGGAAGGCCTGGTCCCAGATATCAAATTTAGTCAGGGGCACTGACCTCTTCCCTTAGATTGTCAAATTTAAAAAATGACAACAGCCCAACACAGCAATAGCCGTCCAGTCTGAATGCCCTGTCTTGAACCATAAATATACAGGTCATATAATAAAGTTGCATCTTGGTCACATCGCATGATAAGGTTGCAGCTGATTGGCTAATTCTTGGTACCAGATATCCTTATATTTTGGAGAAAAAAGGGTAGCTAATTACTACTACTATTATTATTATTATTATAAGTGCTGTAAAGTCAACTCAATCCTTATAAGAAGATCCTGATATTACTTAGTTTTACAGATGAAGCAGCCGAGGCACAGAGATGAATAGCTTGCCAGTGTTACGCAGTTGGTAACAAGTGTTACTAGATTTGTCTCCAGGAAGCCTGACTCTAGCGGTTATGGCTCGTGACCATTGTTCAAATTGTCTGTAATTTCCAGGCCTAGGTTTTCTAGTTTTTAAAAGTACTTTCAACTATGTTTTTTCATCTATGCCTTCAAAGTGACTGTGAGGTAATATTCAGGAGCTGAAAGGGAAGAAACTATGGAAAGTAGAAAGAGCTTAAAGAGATTCCGTTGAGGCATTCTGTGAGTTCGAGGACGCTAGAGTTGGAAAGATATTTATAATTGAACTAGAGGCCCGATGCACAAAATTCGTGCAGCCCTGGCTTCATCCGGAAGGTCATCTGGAAGGTGTTCAGCTGCCTGGTCTAATTAGCACATTACACTTTTATTATAGATTTGTGCAAATTTTAAAAGTTAGATGTACATTATCATGACTAGTATTTACAAGAAGTTTACTATTCAGCTACATTTTTTTTTTGGTATTTTTAATTTCAGTCTATTATTCTTAGAGGGAGGGATTCATTTTTCAGTTGCCTTTCCATGAAACAGTATATTTCTAATGGCAATAGAGTGAGCAGGTCTCCCCCTTAAGTATAAGAAATGTTCTGTAGACATTAAATAATTCTTCATGGATATAATTGAGAATGAAGAAAATGTAAGTATTTAAGTTTTGAGACCTCTCAATCCCAAATCCAATTTCTGTAACAATGGCAACATCACAAACTCTCCCTTGGACTTAGTTCAATAACATCATAGGAACTTGATGAATGATTATTTATTGAGCCCACATACAGGGTGCTCTCTTAACACTTGGTAATCAAATACTGCATGAGACCAGGGGGTTAGAAAATATGTATTATCTTCATTTTGTAGATAAGGTGACAGATAAAGAGGGAGGAAAAAAGACTGACAGTAACCAAAGTGGTAGATAGGCAGTGGTTACAAAACCACTAAGACCATGTAATTCGCCTGGTAGACCCTTTTCTGATCAAGATATTTTAGAGTCAGCATATGAAGGGCTATCAACGTGGGCATGGGAGAATCATTGCAGCAACCATGTCTTGCAAAATTTAGAGATGGATTGAGAAATACTCAAATGAAATCGTAGTTTCTTACCCAGTTTTTAGAAGCTATACTAGAACAGGAGAGAATTGCAGCGGTCAAGTTATAGCTCCAATAGGAAGTGCGCAGTAAGATAGCACCTTGGGGAATCACAATGGAGAAATAGCCTTCTATCCCTACACATGAACACCCTAACGGCCTAACCTATTTGTAGTGACATAAGAAGCAGAACAGTTCTGCAAACATCTGTAAAAGCATAAAATAGTTTTTAAAACAAAACTGTGAAAGTTCTCATGTGGAAGCTGCTTCTAGCCAGGAAATAATACAAGAGTAACTGAAATTGTAATCAGAGTCATTAATGTAGACGTAAGATGCTAGGAGAACACAGGAAAACAAAGACATTCTTTAAGAAAAGTAATAGTGGATGATTTTAAAGTCCCTATAAATGTAAGAAATATTTTACTGAATTCAGTTGCAGGACTCTCTGAGGTGCTAAAACAATTTTCTTTCGGAGAGTTTTACATCAGAGATCATTTTGGTCAGATTCCTTACTAAGTGGTAGAAATGAAATCAACAGTTTGAGGAAATACAACTTGATTATTATTTTCATGGCTTTATTAAGAAGCAGGAAGAATTTGGCAGTTGATTAATCCTGTGGTAAAGATTAATTCAAATGTATAAAGGGTGGCCACCAAGAGATTATGTGAAAAGCAGCCTTATAGTTTTGAAATAATGCTTTGGGAGTTACTTAAAAAATTATACATATACCACAGGTCTTTGGATAACAAAATAAGCACACTTAAGGTAGATACCCTTGAGGAACTCTGAGATGCAGAATTCAGAATGTCTGCAAGTGGCTGGTGCAGGAATACCACCTGGAGTTGACAGGCAATAAAGCGTTTGGCAGACATAGCCAGCAACCTCTCATTTCTCTCTGATGCAGTCCCATCTCTCCCCTCCGCGCCCCCCAACCCGCCTCGCCATGTGCAGCAAGTAAAAGAGATTTACCTGTTTTGGAAATACCCTTATAATGTATGTAAGTTTGCAACCAGTAGAGCCTATGACTAAGTTGGTTACTGGAATCAAACAACTGTGGATCCCACTACCAGCTCTGTTCTTTTCTAGCATTGCGAAATGGGGCAAGTTACTTCGTTTTTCTGGGCCACAGTTTAATATTTGTAAAATGGGAATAAAAACTTTCAGAAGTTTTACATCTCTATTAGGAATGCAGTGTTAATTATTTTATTTTATTGTTTTTTTAACATAAAATATTTTTATTGATTTTTAGGAAGGAAGAGGGAGAGAGAGAGAGAGTGAGCAAGCATCCATAGCTGCCTCCTGCACACCCCCTATAAGGGGTCAGGGGTTGAGCCTGCAACCCAGCATGTGCCCTGATCCGAAATTGAATGGGCAACCTTTTGGTGTGCGGGACGATGTCCAACCAATGAACCACACCGGCCAGGTCTTTTTCACTTTTTAATGTACCCTATGGTAGTAAAATGCTTTTGTTTTGTTCTGTTAATTCTCACCTGAGGATATTTTTCCATTGATTTTTAGAGTGGAAGGGAGGGAGGGGGAGAGACAGAGGGAGAGAAACATCAATGTGAGAGAGACACACCAATTGGTTACCTCCCCGTTGTGTCCCAACCATGGCCGGGGATTGAGCCTGCAAACGAGGTCTGTACCCTGATGGACATTGAACCCAGCACCCTTCAGTCTGCACACGGCTCTATCCACTGCGCCAAACCTGCCAGGGCAGTAAAATGCTTTTGTTGCCTGCACGTTTGTACTCTATTTTATAAGTTGAATTATCAAGGGCAAAGCCCACTGTCCTTTCCCTCTAGCGGTCATTTTCTGAGTCGTCTCTCTGTCTTCCAGAATCCCCTACTTTGAAACTAGCGCTGCCAACGGGACAAACATAAGCGAGGCGATCGAGACGCTCCTGGACCTGATAATGAAGCGGATGGAGCGGTGCGTGGACAAGTCCTGGATTCCCGAAGGCGTGGTGCGGCCCAATGGCCACCCCTCTGCTGACCAGTTAAGTGAAGGAAAGCCGAAGGGGGCCTGTGGCTGTTGAAGAGTCACGTGAGCTCCACGATGAATTGCGTGGCCCGTGTCTGGAATCTCCTCTATGGGTGACACACGGCACAGAGAGAGATTAACGGGCATTGTGTACAGACTCCTCACTATCCCGATTAGGCCAATCAATAAAGCATCCAGTTTTAAAATCAGTTTGCCGCAGCTTTTTAAATGTTTCTCTAAGATTCAGCCTGAGAGTTAGGAGGAATGTTGCACATAGCCAAAAGTGCCTTCTAAAACCTTACCTAGCCAATGGCAGTAGATCATTCAAGGATTCGGGATTTTTGTAGCCACAGAAGAGTGCATTTATTGTGAAGAATGACTGAAGATATCGTCACCTGCCTTAACAGAGATCGGCCCGGTGTCTCACATTCGAGATCTTAGATGCAATTATAAAACTATCAGTCTTTAACCCAAATGGAAATATCTTACTTGTACTGTAGGTGACCTTCTAAAATGCCTTGAATATTAAACCCCTTGAATATTAAACAAGAATATGCACAAACATCGGGTTCAGTGTCCTCAAGTATTAATTCATGTAAGCATTCTCTTTAAAATGAGTATTGGACAAATTATGGCCACATCTCTAGACCCTGGATAAACTGGATCAATCAAGTATGTACTGACTGTGATTCTTGTTTGTGGGGAAGGGATTGGGGCTGAGGGCGGGGGTGGCTTACGATAGCATGAGCAACTGAAATGGGGCTTAATGCCCAGTGCGGCTGCTGTGTTCCCACTGCTCTTCAGGTTTGATGGAAGGGACAGAGAACTAGGTTGTCATGGCTTCAGTTCACTGTGATCTTAGCATTTATCCTTGGCCCACACGTGGCCACATCTGAACACAGCTGGTGCTTATGCTAAGTTGTTTGTAATAAGTAAATATTTAGCTTCTTTTTCTTCATATTTGTAATGTTGGTCTGGTGTCCTCTTTCAATTGGCATGTGAACTACCAATCTTCGGTCTTCACCATCAGGCCCTGGATTGTGGATCTGTGCAACTTGTTTTATTTTTACATTGGCGGAGTTGAAGGAATTTGTTCTTAATTATGTAAAATGTCCTTTTGCTATTTAGTGGACAATTTAATTTAATTTAAGTGGTTACTTTTGCACTCCAGCTCAATATAAGGAAAATAAAGTGTTCTATGGCCTGTATTCTTCACTGGGATCAGGGGCATCTGTATTTGCTGGGTCTTGCCAAGGTCACGTATTCTTCTACACTGCCAAAGTGTCTTTATACCCAACTAAAGATGGTTTTAAAATGTGCTTTGTGGCAGTTTATAAAGGTCAAAGGGGACAATTCTTATTTATTAAAGTGGTTTAAATAGATTAAAATTTCCAAAAAGTTTAATAACTATTTAGAGAACAATACATTATAATTTAAATAAATGTATTTACATAAAATAAATATAAATGTATGTTGTGGTAGCAGATGTTTGGCAAAGTGTAATTAGAAAAATACAACTTTTTTGGAAAGTAATTGCTTTTACATAATTATTTTCAAATGGCTTTTTCTTGAGTACCTATTCTGTTTTGTTTTGTTTTGTTTATTTTTGCCACAACTCCCTTAAAAAACTTAGCTATGGTTACTAAGATGTTATGTATTTCTGTCCTTAAAATGAGAACTTCTTTTAAATCCTAAAGAAGCCATTGTGTCCTATGCATTTGAATTGTATATTCTAGTGAGGAAAGATTCAGACACTTCAAGGGCAGAGTCATGCTCACAGTGGTACCTTCTCAAGTGGCCATGTCAGTGGAGTAAATCATATTTTTACATTTACATATCAGGGAACATTTTATATGGTCTGTTTGTATAATTAAAAAGAAGATGATTTTGTATGTTTCTGTTTTTTTAAGAACCAAATGAGCAATTAGCCACAGATCCTATTGGCCTTAAACATAATATACAATTAAAACATGTATACCTGATACAGTGCACATACATGAACTGTCTTTAATTATTGAAATAAATAAATTGTATTCTCTTTGGAAATTCATAGTTTAAATTTGTTATTGAAGTGCCATATTTTTGTGAGTCAATGTATTTTTCTATTTATAAGTCTGTGTAAAAGTGAATTGTATCTTCAGTGACTGTTGTGCCAATTGAGCTTATAATAAAGCTAGAGGCCCAGTGCACAAAATTTGTGCATGGGGTGTGTGTGTCCCTCAGCCTGGTCTGCACCCTCTCACAATCCAGGACCCCTTGGGGGATGTCCTACTGCCAGCAGTCAGACATCCCTCTCGCAATCCAGGACCGCTGGCTCCTAACTGCTTGCCTGCCTGCCTGATTGCCCCTAACCACTTGCCTGCCTGCCCGATCACCCTGAACCACTCTGCCTGCCTGCCTCATTGCCCCTAACCACTCGCCTGTCTGCCTGATCACTCCTAACTACTCTGCCTGCCTGTCTGATTGCCCCTAACCACCTCTGCCTGCCTGCCTGATCACCCCTGACCACCTCTGCCTCGGACCCCGCCGCCAAAGCTTCATCAGGAAGGATGTCCAGAATGATGTCTGGAAGGTCGTTCAGCTGTCCGGTCTAATTAGCATATTACGCTTTTATTATTATAGATAGTGGTCTAGTCTCTCAAGTTTGTATATGAATGTAACTTCATTTCCCATCACATTGTTTCAAACCAGAGGTCATAATACTAAAGGAAACCAAATCCAGGGGCACAATTTCCATCAGTTCCTTGATGAGGGGCCAACCAAGACAACATGTTCTGGAGAAAGTAAGCCAAATACGTTACATCAAACATATGTAGAGCACGGATCACATGGGAAGTGTTGTACTAGCCAGTCTTAAATGAACTAAACAAGGATGGTAAGGGCCTGAACAAAGACCAAGTCTGAGAGATGGAGTCAAGAGGCATTGGGAAGGTTAGAGTAATTGATTGGATGAGGAGGGAATATGTGGGGAGATGGACTCTGACCTTATTTCACTCACTCACTCCTCTGCAGGTACCCTGGCTTTGGAGCAAATATGCTCCTGCCTCAGGAATATTAGCAGTTCTTTCTGTCTGGGTAGCTAGTCTTCCATATATCTGCATGGCTCTCTCTCCCACCCTTTAAAGGTGTTCCGATGTCACCTTGTCCAAAAGGACTTTACTGCCCACTTTCTATAAAATAGTAGCTGCTTCAATAAAATGTTAAGGGGGGAAAATAGTAGTTGCTCCCCCCGCCCCCATGGCCCCAACCAGATTGTGACCTCCTGACCTGTTATCCAGCTGTGCTTTTGTACATGTTCTTCATCACCACCTGGTATATCTTTATGTTTGTCTCCATCTACTAAGACACAAGCTCCAAAATTGTTTTGCCACTACCCAGAAAAATGCCTGGTGCACATTAGATATTCAAATGGTTATTGGTTGATTGAATGAAGTACGTCAGAGACAGCAAGGTCAAGTGAAAGAGTTTTCAAAATAGGAGTCAGTGAATGTTCAAAGAGGGTAGAATTTGAAAATAAAAACAGCTTCAATAATATTTAGAAATGCTCACATATAATAAATCCATATTGGTTTATTATGATACAGGAAAACAGAAGTACATTCTGATCTTTTGAAGTTCATGTTAAGATAGTTAATCTATTTAAGAAATGTTTAATAAGGAATGCTTTGTTTGGCCTTTATTTTTTTTTATAAATGGAAAATCTCTATATGGTATCCCAGGTCTTCTATTTTGAGCAAGCTGGCTACGTAATAGAGACTATATAACTGAAAAAATCCCACTATGCAACACTTCAGTAGCTGGATAAAATGTAACGAACACATTATTTAAATGTACTGTTGACCTCTCAAGAAAGTAAGGGAAGAAATACTGCCTTTCTTCCCCCTCAACTCAGACAACAGCAACCATAGCACAACAGAGGGAACTTACAAAAACGTGGTTCTGAGTGTGGTTGGGTTTTGACAGTATTAGTAATTGAGGTGCTTGGTTTTGATGCCTATATGCCATCAGGAGAGAGCTTTGGATCTGTTAGAAGTAGCGCGCTGGCGTGGAGAGCCTCCTACCCCCAAACAACAAAGCCTGCGCCCAGTCTGTCTTAGTCTCCCCTGAGAATTTATAACCCCAAGTTATTACACAGGTTTGAGGTTTGAGCTTACAAGTGTACTACCTTTTTTTTTTTCCCCTGGGAGTATCTTAAAGCCAAGAAATTGATAAAAAGAATTAACAATGTGATTTGTGGTTGATGATACCTCTGGTTTACTTGGTAGAAGCAGAGCAAAATCTTTTCAGAGGGAACATCTCCACTCAGACCTTACAGGATTCTTTTTTTAAAAAAATTATATATATATATATTTCATAGAAGAAGGGAGATGAGAGAGAGATAGAAACATCAATGATGAGAGAGAATCATTGATCGGCTGCCTCCTGCACACTGGGGACAGGCCCATAACCCAGGTGTGTGCCCTGACCAGGTTGATGCTCAACCACTGAGCCTGCTGGCCAGGCCTTACATGATTCTTATAGAAAACACCCTACTAAGCATGGACTCACAGTTTAAAATGACAACTCATTACTTCCCCAACCCCCAGCCTCAGTAAACCAAAACCAGCAGGATTTGGTCATTAAGAACTTCAAGTAATATACTTATCAGATGGAAACCATAAAACAAAAATGTTTAAGAGAATCTATCCTAATATATAAAAAGCCAGGGTTGTCATGACTGAAACAACCAGACGGACAACCGAACAGCAGGCAGCGTTGGGCCACCAGGTCAGCAGGGGGGTTAGTGAGGGACGACCAAACGACTGAACAGCAGACTGTGTGGGGCGACCAGGATGGCAGGGGGGTTAGTGAAGGACGACCAAACGACTGAACAGCAGGCTGAATAAGGCGACCAGGCTGGCAGGGGTGGCAGTTGGGGGCGACCAGGCTGGCAGGAAGGAGCGACCAGGCCAGCGAGGAGTGGGGGGCAATTAGGGGCAACCAGGCCGGCGAAGGGGGCATTTGGGGGCAACCAGGCCGGTGGTGGTGGGGGGGGCGGAATTGGGGGCGACCAGGCCTGAGGGGCGGCAGTTAGGGGCGGTTAGGGGTGATTAGGCTGGCAGGAGAGGCAGTTAGGGGCAGGCAGGCAGGCAGGCAGAGGCGGTTAGGGGTGATCAGGCTGGCAGGGGTGGGGGGCAGTTAGGGGCAATGAGGCAGGCAGGCAGGCAGGTGAGCAGTTAGGAGCCAGCGGTCCCAGATTGTGAGAGGGATGTCCCGGATTTGAGAGGGTGCATGCTGGGCTGAGGGGACCCCTCCCCCGTGCACGAATTTCATGCACCGGGCCTCTAGTATATATATAAAAGCCCAGCAACCAGAACGGCGGAATGACTGGTTGCTATGACATGCACTGCAGTGGCCAACCAGCCCAATTTGGGCCCCGAGATCGGCCTCCTCCAACCGCCCACAGCCCTCCCCCCCAGCTTGCCCCCCTGATAGGCCTCGATTGCTGGCCAGGCTGAGGGACCCCACCCATGCACGAATTCATGCACCAGGCCTCTAGTTATAAACATAAAAGGAATTGAAACATCTGGGAAAAGAAGAAGACATTATTAAAGATACAAGGCTGGTTTGAATTAAAATAAATGACTTCACCTATGAAAAATATAGCCACTGATATTCAAAACTTAATGGTCAGAAATTAAATGGTAAATTTGACATGGTTGAAGCAAAAATTGGTGACCCAGAAGCTGGGTCAGTGAAAATTACAGAAATTAGTAGAGAGATGAAGAGTTAGTGTGAAAGACACTGAGAGATATAGGGGAAAGGTAAAAGCGCCAACTTATGTCTAACAGGAATTTTAGAAGTAGAAAGTAGAGAAAATAAAGGAAGAGGCAATATTTGAAAAGGAAATAGCTGAGGAATTTTTCAGAAATAATGAGACACACACCTTCAGTTTCAGGAATTGTGCCGTGTGGGAGTCTGGGAGCGGGGAGGGGGGGGGGGGCTGGGGGGGGCGGAGAAGGATGTAGAAAAGACAGACAAAGAGAATAAGCTGGGTCTAGGTCAGCCGTGGGCAAACTACAGCCCGCGGGCCGGATCCGGCCGGTTTGAAATGAATAAAACTAAAAAAAAAAAAAGACCGTACCCTTTTATGTAATGATGTTTACTTTGAATTTGTATTAGTTCACACAAACACTCCATCCATGCTTTTGTTCCAGCCCTCCGGTCCAGTTTAAGAACCCATTGTGGCCCTCGAGTCCAAAAGTTTGCCCACCCCTGGTCTAGCTGGATCTTCCTGTGCCTGGCTGAGGCCTCAGAGAGAGATCCAGAGGCAAGCTGAGCCTTTATTTTATAGCCAGAGGTAAACAAGGTAGTGGTCACCATAGTTACAATGTTCTTGTGAGTTTCACTTGTTTTGGCAGCACTTGCTGCATCTCCCACAGCCCATTAGCTACCCAGATAAGATCTAGGGAGAGTCATAAGGTCAAGCCTAATTATGCTAAGAGGACTGTGCCCTCTAAACTGGAACTTGTTTGTGGCTTTGCCAACAGGTCAGTCCGAGGCTTAACCCTATAGCCACTCCCTACAAAGAATCATAATTCTCAAGCAGGATACATAAAAAAAATTAGTATTTCCAAGATTTCAATTCAATTTGTTGGATGTGGAACACATGCTCTTCTCCCCTCTCTCTTATATTCTATTCTAATTGAAAGGAAAAAATAATTTCTAAGACTGCTTACTCACCCATTCAACCTAAAGTGAAGCACTGAGTATGGGATTAAAACATAGATAACGGATGTGGATTCTGACATTGAAGATAAGAGGGTAAAGCTGGGTGGTCATTTGGATGTGAAGGGCAGGACATTTCTTGTTCAAGTAGCAGGATAAAGCAGAGGATCGGTGTAAAGGGCTTGGGAAGACTGGTGAGGCTCCTCTCTGTTGTTGAGGGGGATAAGAGGACAAGATTAAACAAGGTTGATAATGAAGTGTTGGACAAATGTTTATTACTAAAATTTCTGGTATGAATTGCTAATTAAATGATTAGACAAGAAAAATACAAGTACCAG